AAGAAAGAAAGAAAGAAAGAAAGAAAGAAAGAAAGAAAGAAAGGAAGAAAGAAAGAAAGAGGGGCCTACAAACCACAAACCCACACACGATGAGCCTAGAAAAACCCAAATCACATATAGGAGGACATGGGGGCCTAGAGACCCCCAAACACACACAAGAGGGGCCTACAAACCCCCAACTCACACACAAGGGGCCTAGAAACCCCAACTCACACACAGGAGGACATTGGGGGCCTAGAAACCCCCAAACAGCCGCGCCTGGGTCCCTGACTTCCGTGTTCCGCGGTCGCTCCGCCCCCCCCGCCCGGCCGTTTCCAGAGATAACAGAGAGGCCTGTTGAGCAAGGGGGTGAAGGGGTAGGCGGGGTCACACAGGGGTCAGCGGGTCACGCGCTCAGGCCCGCCCTCCCTCCACCGCGACCCTGAGACCCCACCAAACCCCCGGGGCTTTCGCGGTCGTTTAGTAAACTAAAACATCGGTTTCTAATAGAGGTTTAGGGGTGAGAAAGACGGGGCGTGAGCGGGAAAGGTCAAGGGTCGGTCACGCCCCCTCCAGCCGCGTCCACACGGAAGGCAAACAGGAAGTTCCCGTTGGTCACCCCCCGCCCAGCCGACACACGGAAGGCAAACAGGAAGTTTCCTCCGCCACGCCCCTCCCGCCGTACACACCCCTCCCACAGAGGGCAAACAGGATGTTCCCGCTGGCCACACCCACTCCTACAGCGGCCATAGGTGCGGCAAACAGTTTCCCGCGTCACGCCCCCTCCCGCCGGCCACGCCCCTCCCAGAGCGTGCACACGAAAGGCTAACAGTAAATTTCCCCCGCCCCGCCCTCTCCCACTAGCCACGCCCCTCCCGCCGTGTCTAGACCACAAACAGGAAGTATCCCACGCCCACGCCCCTCCAGCTTCTCTACTGTGTCAGTCACTGTTTCTAAGCCCCCAATCTCTTGTGTGTCCCTGATATGTTCTAGGCTCCTAATGTCTGTGTGTCACTGGCGGTGTCTAGGGCTCTCATGGTCCTCTGTGTATCAGAAGCAACTTCTAGGCACCTCAAGACTTATTCTGTGTCAGGGGCAGTTTCTGGGCGCCCCTCCCGACTCCTTATGTGTCAGGGGCAGTACCTATGACCCTAAAGGACACTTGTGTTTCATGGGTGGTTTCTATTCCCTCATAGCCCCTTGTGTGTCAGTTTTCAGGCCCCTCGTGACCCTTGAACTTGAGCAGCAGTTTCTAGGCACCTCATATCGCCTTGTATGTCACAGTTTCTCGGCTCTTCTTTGCCCTTTTTGTATCAGTGGCAGTTTCTTACAAGGTCTTACACGTGATGACAACAGCAACGGCAACATATCCCTATGCCTGGGGATCCGAGCCATCCTGTGGCGGTTTCCAGGCTCCCCCAGGGACCTGGGGAGCGAACGTGGTGGCAGAACAAATCATGGCCACCGCCCTGCAGCTGCTGGTGTCCCCTACACCCATGTGACACATAAGGAGGTGGGGTTTATGGGTCATGGTGTGTTGGCCCCACCAACCCTTAGCATCAGGTAGGTCGGGACCAACACTGAGGTGGCGGGGTGGTGATTATCACCGACCGGTGACGCAGGTGAGGGGGGAAACTGAGACAAGGAATCACCCAATCTCTGGCAGTACGATTTCTCAAACCCGACTCTTTATTGCCCGGCTCCACCCCAAAACGTCCCACCTCTCAGGACAAGTGGGCAGCATGGGAAATTGTCTCCTTCGACCCGGAAGAAGTCATGGGTCAGCCTGGGAAGCACGGCAGTGGGTGTGGGAATTCATGATGGCAGTCTCCTGACAGGAAATGTCCTGAAAGACTATTCCTGAAGGGGACCAGGGGGTGACATCAAGGTTAGGAAAGGGCAGTGTTGCCACATACTGAAACTCAGGAGATGCGGAGCCTCCAACCATCCCGACTTCCTGTCTCTGAGAGGCTGTTTCCTGTCTCTAACCTGCTGTTTCCTGTGTCCGATCACCTGTTTCACGTGTCTCACATGTTTCCTGTCTCCAAGTGGTTGTTTCCTGTCAGCATCCCCTGAAGTTCCCGGCAGAAGCGGTTGAGGGGGAATCCTGCAACATTCAGGAAGTCGCCGACCACGTGTTCAACCAGCATTGCACCCCGAGCCTGCAGCCCATAGGCGCCTGCTTTATCCCTGGGGGGTGAGGAACCGAGTGTGAGGGCACCGAGGGGTCAGGCTGACCCTGCCCCAGGAACAACGACTGGAAGTGACTTCATTGTGTAACAGGAAACGACTCTTCTACCATATCCAGATCCTCCACAAGGCCAGGAGGACATCCCATACCTACCCTAATGAAAGGAACTGATGTCAAACAGGGAAAAGCAGAGACCCTAAGTGACATCCTTGCTTAGAATAAAGTCACCCCTTGACCAAGACACGCCCATTCGCACTGCAACGCTGTGTCCGAGGAGACAAGAAGTGAAATCCCGCACCTTACTCACATGGGCTCCCCGGTGTCCACATACTCCCGAATCAATGCCTCAGACAGTCTCGAGAAAGTGACTCGAGTCTCCTCAAAGAAGCCACGCACTTTCGGTTCCAGGTCACGACCTTTGGAGAGTGGATAGAAGGAGGAGGAGGGGGAAGGCGACCACTGACATCACCATTCACTTCTGATGCCAACAGAAACACCCAAATGATGGAGCTACAGTACACTCTGACGTCATGTTACCTCCGACCTACTGTGGTCCCTGAGGTTTGATATCCCTGAGGGTGACTCACCTGACCATGTCACCAAGGCCACTCCTGTGAACACACCATGCTCCTTCCCACTCAGACTGCCAGGGAGATGAGGGGAGGTGGAATGGGTGGTTTCCGTGGGATCTGAGGCCCCACCCATGCCCCAAGCCCACACCCATGCCCCAAGCCCACCCTTCTCCTCCAGACCCCGCCCACCTGCTCAACATCCAAAAAGCTTCCTCTTGGTCCGAAGGTTTCCCCAGTATCCGACCATCCACGGCCTGCAAAAACCAGAAGTGGGGGAGGGACCAAGATGAGGGAGGCCCCACCCAGCTGATCCCTGCCCCCAATTTTACCGGCCACCATCTTCCTGTCACTGACCACCACTGTGTCCGCACCAATGACCACGACAGGTTCCAGCTGGTCCGCCTGAGGGAGAGAAGTGTGGGGACTTCCGGTTTCACCGGACAAGAAGTGGGTGTGCCCTCTGACTTGTGCATGGCCTGAGGAAGACCGGCAGGTAATGCTGCGCCGGGCGTGGATTTATCTTCCATGACCACTAGAGGGGATTGAATGGGGAGACTGAGGCACGCTGACGCGGGACCGGAAGTTAAGTGACAGTGCCCGGGGCTTTGGCAGGAAGTCCTACCGGGCACATACGGTGCGCAACTTCCATTGCCTTCCCAGTCGCCATCTCCAGGGCGAAGGAGCCCGGGCAGCGCGATGACGTCACGCGCACCTCCTCGAACCGGGACGGGATGACGTCAAACTTTAGACCCTGCGAACAACATGTCGTCTGTGTAACGTCACAACAACCCACCCGTCCTCACCGTATCACCTGCCCCAAAGAACACAGAAAGTTTAGCGATCCAACACCGAGGCCCCGCCCCTTCCGGTGGAAGCCCGGAACCCAAAAGCGAACCGCGAGTTCTAGGATGTCCCTCCTCCGCGGAGACGTGCTCGCCAGCACCACGCGGTGGCCCCTCAGTAGCGACGTCAGCGGGGTCAGCTCCATGACGGGGGTCGTGGGGACGGTGACGGAGCCGAAAGCCTCTGCGGGGAGCGCGCAGCTTCCGATTGATGGCCGCGTCCGAGGCCCTGCCCACCGACCCACCACATCCGGGGACGCGCGCGAAACGTCCGGACTTCCGCAGCAGCCGCAGCTCCCTTCCTGGGGAGGACGTGGCCGCCGCGCTTTTCCACACCGTTTCCCCCAGGCCTCGGGACGGGGCTCGGGCTCTTCGGGACTCGAAGCACTTCCGGGAACGGTTCTCTGAAGTCTCGATCTGTCCGAGAGCTTTAGCGAATCAGACGTTGGGTAAGTCGATCGTAGGGACTCATGGGAGATGTAGTTCCCTGCTCCCAGAGCCCTTGGGCCCCTACACAGAACGCGTCCGGGCCTGCGCAGGTATTCATGGGAAATGTAGTTCCACGGCCCGAGAGTGGGAGGACCGTGAGCATCCTATGCCTGGGCTTCCGCAGAGACTCATGGGAAACGTAGTTCCCTGAGACTAGAGGCGTAGCACTGTGAGCACCCTATGCAGCAGCGCGCTACTGGTTCTCCAGAATAACTCCTGGAAAATGTAGTTACATTTTTTTTTTTAAATAAATTTTCTCTGAAATTAAAAACTCACGATATTTTTATTTCCTTTTTCTTTTTCTTAAGAAATCAGGGGCCTAGAAACCACCAGGGACAAAGTCAGAGATCGGGGGCCTAGACACCACAAAAGACATCTGGTGGCCTGGAAACCGTCACTGACACACAGACAGGCATGGGGACCTAGAAATCGCCAGGGACACATAGACAACGGGGGTCTGGACACCACCATAGACACACAAAGATTCATCGGGGGCCTAGAAACCGCCGCTTAAAAACACAGACACCGGGGGCCCAGAAACTGCAACTGACACAAAGAGAAACAGGGTGGGGGAGACCTAAAAAGCGCCAGAGACACAGAGAGACAACGGGGGATTAAAAACACTTACACACAGACAGACCTCCGGGCACCTAAAAACCACCAGGGACATCGCTGTCCTAAAAACTACACAAGACAGTCAAAGACAGACATTGGGGACCAGGAAACCGCCACTGACACCCAGACAGACACTGGGGTCCTAGAAATCGCCAGGGACACATAGACATCCGGGGCCTGGAAGCCACCACTGACCGACATCAGGAAGCCAGAAACCGCTAGCAACACAAATACACAGATCATGCCCTAGAAACAGCCAGGGACAAACAGACAGATGTAAGGAGCTTGGAAACCACAACAGGGAGACAAAGGGGGCCTAGAAACCGCAAGGGACACACAAATAGACACCGGGATCAACTACAGGGAAGAGGATAGACCACAGGGATCATCATCTACAGGGAAGTGGAAAGACCACTGGGATCAATTACAGGGAAGAGGACAGACCAGAGGAATCATCTACAGAGTAAAAACAAACAATAATATAATATGCAAATATATAAATAAATGTAAATATATGATAATTAGTGTGATCATAAACACATGTGAATTGTTTAAATGAATATAAATATGGAAAACATAAGAAATATATGGTACGTGCAGTCCAGTTTATGGTAAACCTAAAGCAAATACGGATAAAAACAATATGCATCCAATTAAAAATATTAGAATCACTAAAAATGTAAATATATTTGTGTAAATATATTTAAATGAAATAATACAGACATATATATGTTAATAAATGTGAACACAAATGCTTGGCAACATCGAAATGAGTGTAAATATGGAAAATATGAATATGCAAATATGTGGAAATAAAGGTAAAATGTTAAAAGTATAAGGGACATGTATAATGTAAACATCAATATGTAAATACTTAAATATATGTAAATAATGAAAACAACACACGATGAAATCTATGTCCATAGAAGTAGCATAAAAATGAAAACAGGAATGTACAAATATATGTAAACATACGGTGTGATTATATAATTGTTGCAAATATGTCAAAGAAAAGTTAATAATGTCAATATAGAAAAATACGCCTATAAATATTTGAATGTAAATAGCACCATATATCTACCTGTGAAAACAATGTAAATAAGGAAAAATATGAATATATATCAAAATGTGATGTAAACGATAAATATGTAAAAATATTTCAAGTGAAAAATGTAAATACATAAACGTATACATTAAATGTGAATTTATTAAAAATCTAGAAAAGCACGAACAGGATTCCCAAAATGTTGATAAACGCAAAGACATGTGAGCAACAGTACTGCACAAACATGAATACTGTCATTCATGCAGAGATGAATTTATTCAGAGAGTTGAAAGAAACACAAGCATCAGACTATCAGGGAACATAGGTGAATATGTAACTATGCAAATACAAGAAATTAATTACGGAAATCGCAATGAGACTTGTTATCAAATAAAATTACGTAAATATTAACCATAAAGTCACAGAATAGTATGTAAATTTAGAATTTATACGCATTATAATTGTACGTGCTTCAATTTACATAATTTATAACTTGCTATAATTTACATAAATGTGTAATTTATGTGTATTACATAATTTACAATTTAGTATGATCGTGTGAATTTATGACTTACATAAATTTATATAATAGGAAGTATATTTTATTTAAATTCATGTAAAATTACAAAGACTATATATCCATAAACAAATATGTAAACATGGAAATAGAAATAAACACACGAAAGCACATGTCTACATATGTAAAAAAAACTATAAATATGTAAATTGTTAAAATTCATGCAGTGGTATACTGGTATAAGATACAAGAACAGATACATAATATAAATGAACAAAAGTGCAAACCTACAAATATAAACAAAATAAAGGCCCCGCCCCTTTTCTTCAAATCCCGCGCCCAGCCCCCAGGGCCCGCTCCTAGCCACTGTCACAACAGATCGCCATGGGGATCCGCTACTGAGTATGCGCGCGATGCCAGATATAAAGGGTCCCAGAAGTCCCACCTTGGCCCGAAGTCGCGGTCGAACATCAGTCCTGTTACTTCCGGGCGGCAGCTACGGCTCCGCGGACATCGAGACCCTGTTTCCGGCCGGCTGGGGCAAAGGTCACCAGGACCGGATGTCCGGCCTCCGGCTCTCCTTCCGCTCGCGGGAGCAACGGAGGCCCGACGGCAGTTCTTCCCCGCGGAGTCTTTAAGAGACCGTGTTTCCGGCCAGCGGGGGCAACTACCGATAACGGAAGTTCACCTTCGCGATCCTTCCGCTCGCGAGTGTAGAAGAGGCGAGCCGCCGAGGTCATTCCCTTTGGTGTCGCTGAGGAACCTCTGCGCAAGCTCCGAGACCCCCTGTTTCTGGCCGGCGTGCAAAGGTCAGCCCCCCCGGAAGTCCCGTTTCCCTGCGGCCGCTGCGGTTCTCTCCTGGAGCTCCGCATCCCGGCGGCGGAAGTGGAATCTCGTCGTCGGAGGCGGAGAGGGGCGGGTTCTGGCGCTGCAGCCGGAAGCGCGTCTAGGGCGGCTGGGCATCCGGAGGGAGCGGAGCGGCGCGGAGCTCGGACTTCAACGGCGGCGACGGGAAGGAGGACTTCCGGAGCCGCGTGAGGAGGCCATCGGGAGTCCGCCGGGCGGTCCCGCCTCCCGCGCGTGCTGGTTCCTGGCGGCTCCTGGTGGTCTCGGTGGGCCCCGCTCGTTGAAAGGGGGACGGGACGGGATCTGGGGGAGGGGCCGGGAGGAGAGCAGCCGGGGGCGGAGCTGGATGGCTTGGGGGCGGTGCAGAGGGCCTGGGGGCAGCGCTATAGGCCCTGGATTTGGGGATAGAGGGCCGGGGGCGGGGCTACACCGCTCATGGGCGGGACTGGAGGGCTCGGAGCCGAGCTAGGGGGCGGGGCTATACGGCTCGGGGGCGTATCTAGCAGTGACCTGCTGCGCGAAGGCGTGACAGGAGTGACCCGGAGGCGGGCTTAGAGCACCAGGGGCGGGGTTAGCAGTGAATCGGTGTAATTGAGTGACAGGGGAGGCGTGTCTAGAGGTCCCGGGGGGATGGGGCTAGCTGTGACTCTGTGATTGTATGACAGGCTGTGAGGGCGCTGCTTTAAGCACTGGGCAGGGCTACATAGCCCGGGGGAGTGTCTACCGGTTCCCTGGTGTATCATCGAGTGACAGAAAGGACTGGGACTGGAGAGCCTGGGAGTGGTTCTAGTGCTGACTTTTTGTGCCATGGAGTTACAGGCTTATGGTGTCTTGAGTAACAGGAGAGACCCGGGGTGGCACTTGATGTCCTGAGGACCTGTCTAGAGTTGACTTTTTATACCCTTGAGTTACAGGCTCTTGGGCAGGGCCTGAAGCCCTGGGGTGGGGAGCTAATATTAAAGTGGTGTGCCGTTGAGTGACGAGAGGGACCGGGTTGGGGACTAGAGGACGTGGGGTGGGCCTAGAGGGCCTGGGGGCGGAGCTAGCGATGACCTGCTATGTGATTGAGTGGCAGGAAGGACCTATAGGCGGGGTTAGAGGAGCTGGGGGCGGAGATAAACCGTGAACTTGTGTCATTTGGTGACAGGAGTTAACTGGGAGTGGGTCTATAGAGCCCGGGGTCGGGGCTAGAGGTCCTCAGGGTAGCCCTCCAAGAGGCTCTGGGGGCAGGTTAGTGTTTAGTGATTGAGAGGAGGGATGGGGGGGGGG